CCTTAGCGCAGTCTGGGTAGATGGGTACCAGCCGGGAATTCCAATGACCACCTGCCCCAGTTAAGGCCAGGATGTACAATTATTGATGCCTGAAGTTAGTTATCTCACGACCCTATAAACAGCAGTTCCAGGGATAGAATCATAGAATCATAGAACGGTTTGGGTTGGAAGGGACCTTAAAGATCATCTAGTTCCAACCCCCCTGCCATGGGCAGGGACACCTTCCATAGCCCAGGGTGCTCCAAGCCTCATCCAGCCTGGCCTTGGACACTCCCAGGGATGGGGCATCCACAACATCTCTGGGCAACCTGTCCCAGTGCTCCCACCCTCTCCGTGAAGAACTTCTTCCTGATATCTAAGGATGACCCTTGGAGCTCCCCTGGACCGCAGCGGCTGCGCCCAACTTCTCCCTCGGAGCGGGGTACCTCTCAGAGTTCACAAACGCTCCAGTTGGTGAAATCAGAGAAGAGTCGACACAAACTGGGCTGAAAAACCTCCTCAAGGCTCAACCCGGCACCCGCTGGGAGATGCACTGACATCCGACGGGAATACCTTCATAGAATCATAGATTGGTTTGGGTTGGAAGGGACCTTAAAGATTACCCAGTTCCAACCCCCCTGCCATGGTCAGGGACACCTTCCACTAGACCAGGTTGCCCCAAGCCTCATCCAGCCTGGCCTTGAAGACATCCAGGGATGGGGCATCCACAGCTTCTCTGGGCAACCTGTTCCAGTGCCTCACCACCCTCCCTGTGAAGAGTTTCTTCCTGAGAAGAAGTTCTTCCTTCTTCACCGAACCCCGGGGGGAATTTCAACAGGCACCTTCACACGAACATAGGTGTGTCTGTATCCCTGCACGTGCTGGCGGGAGGGAGCGTGCAGCTGCACGGCGGCAGCCTTGGGAGCTCTCCGAGGAGGTTACTGGGCGGGTTTGCCGAGAGCTGGGTCCTGCTGGGGAACTGTGTGCTCTAAGTGTGCGACAGAACTGAAGGGTGTGAAGGAACTCAGAGTTACTGCGGCCCCACAGCTCTGCACAAAGCCCAAACTCCACGCTCTGATCCCTTCCCCAATTCCTCAGGCATACACTGTTGCCCAGGGCTGGGACTAGGGCTGGATTTAGCCACACCTGGACTTCTCTTCTGAGGAGCGTAGAAGGCAAGGGGGTCCACGCTGAACCTCGTGGCCACATGGGAAGAAATTCCTCGCCCCTTTTCCCCAGGCCATATCCCAACAATCCCATCCTGCCTTGACTTCCCTGGCTCTGTAAATAACTTTTAATTCGTGTACAAACCATTTTAACCCACTGTTAATTTGATTTTGCCTTTCTGTGCTTTTCCAAGTAGAGTGGACGTGGCCATCCAATTCTGCCAAGTCACGTGCCTCACAGATCCATATGGACAAGAACAGGTTTTCCCTTAATACTTGTGACACCCATCTTTTCAGCGGCCTAAACCCCCCGGCACAGCCCCCCGCGGCGAGAGGCGCTCTTCCCGAGAGGAGAAATACCAGAGACTCACCTGCAGAACATAGGGGTTAATGCCCAGGGTGGACACGATGTGAGTCGACGCAGGCACGGCCTCGGGCTCGTCTCCCATCTCGTCCTCCAGACCGGGCTCCAGGGGAGGCTCCTGGGTGATGTCTGCCATGTCGCTGTCCAGCTCCACCACCCTGCCCAGCTGCTCCACCTCGGGGGTCTGCGGACACAGGCAGAGGCCGCGTCAGGCCAGAGCGGGCTGACAGGCTTCACCGAGAAAGAGCGCCCGAGGCTTTCCACCGTCACCCGCGAGCGAAGCGGAGCGCTGCCCTGCTCGTGGCCAGACTCCACGTTAAGTTCTGAGGTGAACACGGAAAACCTCTTCCCCTTTTCCTCTGAACCGCAGGGTAA